TGAGATTCAACAGTTTCTACGCATAGGTGTTCATTTCTATGCATGGCCTTGGTTTCTCTTCATGATCTATCTTTTAACAAAAAGAAAGAGTTTTGAATGAGTTAATGCAAAATTAATTAAAACCATCAGTTAAAAGTTAAATACAGATCTAATTAATTGTTAAAATAAGTTTCATAAATAAAATGTTTATGTATAATGTGTTTTTTTTTTCATTCAAATCATGAGAATAACAAATCTATTATAAAATTATATTTTATATAAAACGGAATAAAGTTGTGAAGGCCATGGTGGGTGGTGGGGAAGCAGCATTTTACTTCTAAGTTGAAAATTAACATTTCAATAATTGATTCTTTCGCCACTTGATGTAAGCGGCGGAGCTTGGTGATTGTAGATATTAAAATTTAAATTTTATTCGATTATTTATTTATTTATTTATTTTATTAATAATATGAAATTTTTTTATGCACCCTAAAATATAAGATTTTTTATCAATTATTTATTTTACAGACAATGTCTATCTAAAATTTTATTTGTATCTATCATATTTTAAAATTTTAATATTTAAATTTTATTTATATCTATCATATTTTAAAATTTTAATATTGAAAAATATTTATGAATCCGCATGATAGTTCACAAAATTCTTTTCTTTAGTTTCATTCATCCATCCAAAAAGCATGATAAAATTCGTTGCTCAAAATAAGAATGAAAAAAAAAACTAATGAACAGCAAACCATTCATTTATATATTATTTAAGAAAGGAAATTATTTATAATTGGCGTAGAGAAAAATTAATAGTGAGATGAAAATGACAGCAAGAATTTACTCTGTACAATCCGTATCAGTTACCTTCGGCCTCGGATTAGCACCCGCATTGACCCCGTTTTTGCAGTCGCCGTAGAAAATGGTGGTAACGATAAAACTCCAGATGATAAGCACGCCGTAAAACCACAACAGAGCCGCCGTTTCCCACCCCATGAACACGGTCCAAACGGCGGACTTGGCGTACTCCTCGCCGTCCGTTAATTTCTCAAACCGATTCCCGATCCACCCCGACACACCCACCAGCATGCAAGTAACGAACCACCAGCAATACCTCCGTCCCGCCATCAAAACCGACCCGATCCGAATCGCTTCCCACCCGAATTTCTCCTCCAACGCCGACACCACCAGTCCTAAACCCAACACTCCCATCAAGTAAACCTCGATACCCGAACCGATCACCAAGATGGGTAGGCTGACCCGGGGGGTGGTTCCGTAATGTGACCGCGAGAAGCTGCGGGAGTTGGATGTAGAGGATGAAGAGGGTGTAGGAACATAGTGAGGTGACAACGACGCGCTTCCAAGAGAGTCCGATGGCGGCGGCGGTGGAGAGGAAGGAGGGACGGTGGGGAGGGGAGATGGAGGAGACGTGGACGGCGGATATGAAGGAGAGAAGAGAGAAAACAGAGGAAGGAAAGGAATAGAGAAGTTTGAGACGGAGGAGAGAGATGGATTCTTCACGGGACTCTCTCAAGAGGTGACGCGATTCGAAGCTGGTGGAGGTGAGCAGAGCGACGGATTCGAGGTGGAAGATGTGGCGTTTGAGAGGGCGGGAAGACAAAGAAAGGGAGAAGAGAAGGAAGGAAAGAGGGAGGGCCAAGAAAAGGAGGATTGAGAGCAAAATGTGTTTGTTTTGGAAGAAAATTCTAAAGGAACAGGAGAAGAGCGAAAGGAAGACAGAAAATGAAGAAGGAGAAGAAGATTTGGTGGGTTTATGTTGTTGCTGATTGTGATCACGTATTTCGGATTGAGCGTCAGACATTGTTTTTCCTTTATAATTTTTAAATATTTTTTTCTAATCTTTGTTTATAGACCTGAAGCCCGAAGAATGAATTATAAAGATGAGATAAAAAGAAGATTGAGGAGAGGAGAGGAGAGGAGAGGAGAGGAGGGAAGGGAAGAGGGGCCCATTTGTAACGCGTATATATAGGCATGTAAACGAATCGAACGCACATGAACTGAGGTATGTTTATATTCGTTCATTTAAAAAATAAACGAACATAAGCGAATAAATTTTTTTTGTTCATGTTCGTTTATTAAGGAATATAATTTTTTTATGTTCGTTCATTTAATAAATAAACGAACACGAACATAAATGAACATGAACATGAACATAAACGTTGGAGACCTTACCTTTCATTGTTCTTTCATGAAAAATAGTTGACAATGCAAATCAACCAAATCTACAGTGATAAATAGCGTAAGAGTTGATTAGCAGTGATGAAATGTTTGAAGATATCAAATATTTCGATCGATCTTTTAAAGATATTAAATGATTCACACGACTTTAATTTAACGCTATAACATTTATCATAGTGGTCTATGATTACATATGAACAATTATTTTTCACTACGTTATTCTAATAAATTTGCCGGCTAAAAGTTTTGTAATATCAATGTCAAACTTTAGTGAGGTTTTTAATAATGGTCCTTTTCGTTGGCAGAGTAGAAAATTTAACAGCATGAAGATTTTGAAGGGTACAAATTGGACTACAATGCAATAACATAGATATGAAATCCCTTCGATACTACATATCGTAACTGATATTATTGCTAAACCACCATTCAAAATTTTAACGTACCTAAAGTCTACTCCACAACAAAAGGTCACACAAGAACTATGAAAACAAAAGTTCATTGTCAAAGTGTATTTTCTACTTATTAATGGGTTCTTCTTAGAAAACCCATTACTTCCGCTATTACACTCATTTTCAGAAATTGCATAGAAACCTTTGTTTTGTTTTCTGACAAATTCTATATATTTTTCTCTTTACTGATACTCATATACTTCCGATTGTTACCTTTATCTTCCCATCTATTTCTAGAAAGAAGTATGATGTCGAACATAACCGAGCGAACATAAACGAACATAACCGAACGTTCACGAACGTAAATGAACGAACGAGACCTATGTTCATGTTCGTTCATTTAATTAAACGAACACAAAATCTTGTTCATGTTCGTTCATTTAATAAATAAACGCACATAAACGAACTTTCCGCCGCACGGTTCATGAACGGTTCGCTGGACGTTCAATTCATTTACATGCCTACCAATATAACTTTGAAGGTTTAAAAGTACAATATAAATAAAAGATATTCACTGAAAAAAGAGTAAAAAAGTTAATAACATGAATCTATGTAAATCTATGTAAATGAATATAATAACATGAATTCATATATAATGATAAAAAATTAAAATATGTTCAAGCATATGATATCATGGAAACATGCGAATGACAAGTAAAGTTAGATGACCTTTGTTGTAATTACCGTGGGATTAATTTAATACAATTGGTTAGACATAGAGTTTGTGCATAATATGCTCGAGGATGCATCTTGGGTGCGTAGCATTAATTGTGCTAAAATTTCATGTTCGAAGAGGTATCTTGAGTGCCTAAACATTAATTATGCTAAAATATTATGTTTTAAGGAGATACTTCGTGTACTTAGCACTATACGTGCTTCATGCTAACACTATATATATGTTTCAAGACGTTTATTAATTTTCATGTTACTTAGACATCATGAATTTCAACCGTTGAATTTTTAAGATGTGTATGTGATATCAATTTATTAAAAAAGTTTTGAACATGTAATATCTTATAATTATTTTAGACTATTTAAAAACATAACATTTTATATATAAACACTATTAATAATGTTTACAGAGTGTCTTTGTCAATAAAAAAATTTAAATTGTCGAATAATTTTACAGAAAATGATAATTAAATATGATGTTTGTAAATAATGTTTTTGTGTTTTTGACAAATTTTAAATCTAATACTAATTCTATTAGAGGGGAGGAAAATAAAAGATTTTTGGAAAAATGAATAAAAGTAAGTTTAGAACCATAACATAAAGGAACTTAATGTTTTACTGAAAATATTGAAATGGTGTGTGAGATTGTCAACAGGTGGCGGTGCACGTTGTGTGCTTGTGTCAACGGATTGTAGTGCATGGTGTGTGTTAAAGTGGAGGTGTTTGGAATAGAGTTAGTTTAAGTGATAAGTAGTATGCTATTGTTTAAGCGGGTTTCGAGTTTGAGTTTTTGTATATATAAAAAACTTTCGCTAGGAGATTCATTCATCAAAATTAGATGTACGATACCGGTCAATCCAAAGTAATTAAGATAAAGTCTTAAAATATAAGAAGGACAACAACAAAAAAAATGGAGGTGCTTGGGGTGTCCCAAGAGCCAAGTGTGGGGCAAGTAAAGGATGGTACACCCGTCATTCATGAAATCATGACCGAAAGGAGGGGCAGTTTGCCAAGGAACAATGGCTTGAGCTGCCACCAAAGCCAGCCAGCTGGTCGAGTAAACTGGGTGACAATACACGCCTTTGCTTCTATACATGCAGGGAATTTCCAATATTTGGGGTGAGCTGAACCGCAAAAAAAGGGGGCAGATATAAAATAACTAAGATCGCTACATATACTTACGCATAAACTATTGTGGAAATTTTAATTGTAAATCTTTGTATCTTTATTGTAATTTAAGGTATTTTATTTTTTAATAAAATTAATGACTTCTATAATAAAACTAAAAAATAAGAACTAAATTGATTAAAAAATGTATAGATTAAAGGTTAAATTTATCATTATTATACCTATAATCTTAATTTTCTTTTAGTTTGATCTGTATAGTACAATAAGATATAATTAATCATATGTTAACACATGATGATTTGTATTCAGATTAATGTAGATTTCACTTCAAATCCTTAAAAGAACTTTTTTACCATCTACATTTTCTTAAATTTATCACAAAGGTATAATAAAATAAGAAAAATATCAATCAACATAGTTGATTCGAGTGGTAAACAGTTTGATATCTTAAGCAGTTTTAATCTCGGGAGGATGCTATTTGCATACGTGATGTTAAAAAGCAATATATATGAGTAAATTAGCTACACTTATTGGTAGCAGTTTGTTATTAATAAACTGGACTAGTTTATTAGAATTATTAAAATTAATTTACTACATTTCTATTACAATGTCAAAAGTTTGGTGGAAGTATGATCAAGGGATATAGGAATGACCTTCTTCTCCTTCAAGTTCATAATATCCCATCTCCTTAAGAACTTGAGTACATTCTGGGAGAGGCTCCCACTTCTTGAACCTGAGATTGTTGACGAACCGTTGGACGCCTTCGACGCCATCTTTCGACGTTAAAACCACCCTGGATTTCCTCCATGCTTCGGTAGGATCATGACAATCATCCCTTGGACTCTTGAATAGACTCACCTCACAGATCTCTTCCGAGTGATCGCCTTCCACCTCGATCTTGTATGCTCTGGTGTCATCGGTTACGACATCTTTGGTGATTGAGGTTATCATCCTGTCGGTGTGGTTCCGACATTCCAAGTTCACTAATGCGCCTGCAACAACAAACTCGTCATGTACCAACATATCAACTAGTCATAATTTCATTTACATACCCTTGAGTGGTTCGTTGATTATGGTCTCGAATTTGACACTGCAAGTGTCGCATTAAACCTTGCATTCAGCGATAAACTTAACCTCGACGGCATTGACCGAGTCGATGAGGGATGAAAGGCAGATCACCAAGGAAAGAAGAGCGACCTTTGAAACTTGTTATCTGAGAGTAACAATCTGAGACTAAATTGGAACATGAGAAAAGTAAAAGAAAGAATCAAATTCTTTTAAAAAATAAAAAAAATATTATAAGAAATAAAATACTCTATATTTTGATCCTAAGATCGGAATCAGTTGAGGCATGTCGCTACACAGTTTTCTTAAGACAGTTTTTTGGCCACTCCTTGGTGCTCGAGATTCTTTGGTCGTCTGTCTCCCAGGATACAACAACTAGATGATCGGCTATAATAGCATAACAGTAGAGATTACAAACTTTTCTTGCCTTTGACTATCACCGGAAAACTAGAGGAAAAAATGATATTTTCTGATAATGATAGAAAATATTTTCAAGAGAAGAAAGCTTCTTGAATTCTGAGTTGTGAAAAAACTGAGAGATTTACTCAGTGTTTATAGGGGAATTTTGAGAGAGTTTTTCTCCAACTAAATCTATTTTAATATCTAAATTTAAACAAATAATGATATCTTTTAAATTTAAAATATTAAATTTGAGAATTTACTCCAACTAGATATCTTTTAATATATAAATTTAAATAGATAATAATATCTTTTAAATTTAAAATATTAAACAGATATACATTGCTTTTATTATTCAAATTGAACAAATATTATTTTAATTTGAAATACACAAAATTATATAATTATCTTTAAATATTCAAAGTTAAAAAGGTAACACGTACAATTTTAAATTGACATATTAAAAGAGTAATTATCCTACTGATATTCAAATTAAATCATATCTTTTAATTTGCAATATCTAAAAGGACTCTGAATTTAATATAAATATTAAATCCGTAAATGTAATTCACCATTTTTTCCAACAATCCCCCACATGAATTAAATTGATGATTTAATCAAAAACATTTTGACACGGTGTGGTGATAGCCTTTACGATTGATAGTTACATAGGATAGGTAGGTGTCCTCCTTTGAACCTTATTTTGTGATAGTATATTTACTTTACATTTTAAATAGTAGACACGATGTCCTTGAACTGTTCTGTCATTTGTGTAAACGATGACATACATCACATAACTACCATTTTGACAAGAATTTAGTTCTCATGAGTATGTTCTTAAAGCCATGGACATCGCCTGGTTCTGCAAGAGTTTGATAGAACTATGCCCCAATAGTCTCCTTGAAGCGGCCCCACATCACTCTCACATAGGTGACTTATGTTACTCGGCTCACAGAAGCACTCAATGGTCATTAAAAGCCTAGCTTAGCCTATACCACTTTTATCACTGTTTACATCATAGGAACAAACTTGGGATAAGAAACCCCCACAGTGACCGTACACGGGTTATGCAATTAGGTTTTCCCTTTGAACCTAGATATTGGGATCTCCAATCAACAAGGCGGGGTTTTCCTTTACATAACGCCTTTAAATTTCATGGGCTTTAGTCTCATTCCTTTAGATGTCTTCTCAACTTGATCTCGATTTAACCCGTTGGTTAGTGGATCTGCAATGTTATCCTTTACTTTTACAAAATAATAGAGATAACTCCATTTGAGATCAGTTGTCTAATGGTATTGTGTTAACAACGCATATGTCTCGAATTACCATTATACATGAAATTTTGTGCTCTAGCAATTGTAGCTTGGTTGTCACAGTATATGCATACTTTGGACACATGTTTCGACCATTCTGAAATATCCTCAAGAAAGTTATGAAGCCATTATGCTTATTCTCCTGATTTATCTAGAGCTACAAACTCATATTCCATTATGGATCTAGTTATTATCGTTTGTCTTGAGGATTTCCAAGACACAGCTCCTCCTCCTAAAGTGAATACGTATCCACTTGTACCTTTGGTATCTTGAATATCATATATCCAGTTGGCATCGGAGTACCCTTCTAAGAAAAAAGGATCTCTGGAATAATGAAAATTGTAATCACGAGTATATCTAAGGTATCTCAATATCCTTGTTAACGCTTTCCAGTGAATTTCACTTGGATTGCTCCTGAATATGCTTAAACTGCTCACAATAAAAGTGATGTTTGGTCTCGTACAGCTCATGAGATACATTAGGTTGCCTATGACCCTTGTATATTCCACCTGGTGAACACTTTCACCTGGGTTTTTAGAAAAATGTGAACAAGAGTCTAGTGGAGTTATGACTATACCATTATCGCACTTGTTAATTTTTTTTTCAAGGATCTTGTCCATATAGTGTGATTGTGTTAATATAAGGCCTTTAGATGGTCTTTTAATTTGGATGCTAAGAATCGTATATGCCAATCCCATATATTTCATGTCAAATCTTTAATTTAACATGTCTTTGGTACGTTTTACCATCTCATTGTTACTTCCAACAATGAGTATGATCAACATATAAGCATAGAATAACATATCCTATGCTTATTGTTTTGACATATACACAATTTTCATACTCATTTATCTTGAAGTTGTTTGTCATCATGACATTATCAAACTTCTCATGCCATTATTTTGGTGTTTATTTAAGTCCATACAAATATTTGACCAACCTACAGACTTTTCTTTCTTGACCTAGAACTACATGACCCTCAGGTTGTTCCATGTAAATTTCTTCGTCAAGATCCCCATTCAATAAAGTTGTTTTAACATCCATTTGATATACTTCTAGATTTCGCAAAGCGACAATCACTAGTATCATTCTTATGGATGTTATTCTTGATATAGGAGAGTATGTATCAAAATAGTCTATGCCTCCTTTTTTCGGTATCCTTTTATTACCAATATGGCCTTGTACTTATCAATTGTTCCATCTACTTTCATTTTTCGCTTGAAAATCCATTTAGAGCTTAGTGGTTTAATCCCCAGAGGAAGATCCACTAATTCCCATGTATGGTTCTGCATGATGGAATCTATTTCACTCTTAATGGCTTCTTTCCATAAGGTGACTTCAAAGGATCGTACAGCTTCAATATACATTTAAGGTTCAGCCTCCAGCATAAAGGTTAAGAAGTCTGGACTATCCTCATTATTAGTATTTAAGGTTCTTTTTATTACACTTTGATAAACTTCCTTAGATTTATAAGGGAAAATATTTTCAAATAATTATGCATTCTTTAATTCCATTATTGTATTCTTGTGAATCTCGGGATTCTTAGATTCCTACACAAGAAATCGATACGTATTGGTATGTTCCACATAGCCAATAAAATATAATCCACAATTTTAGGACCTACTTTCATTTAATTTGATAATGGGGCCACTACTTTGGCAAGACACCCCTACATTTTCAAATGTCTGTAGGAAGGTTTCTGACATTTCCATAATTCGTATGTTGTCTTGTCTTTTTCTTTTCGGGTACCTTATTTAAAAGGTAATTATTTGAAAGGACAACTTCCCCCACATGTTCTGTGGTAACCCAAAATTGTCTAACAAGACATTCATCATTTCTTTTAGAGTCTGATTTTTTCGGTCGGCAACTCCATTTGATTGAGGAGAATAAGGTGGTGTTACTTCATGAATAATATCATGTTGTGAACAAAATTCAGAGAATGGTTCAACATATTCACTACCATGATCACTTGTTACCATCTTAATCTTTTTATTAAGTTGGTTTTTGACTTTCTTCTTAAAGATTTTAAATTTCTCTATAGTTTCATCTTTGCTCTTAAGCAAATATACAAAGCAATAATTTGTGATATCGTTAATGAAGGTAATAAAGTATTTATTCCCTCATCTCGTTTGGACAAATTTCAAGTCACAAATGTCACTATGAATTAAATAAAGTGGTTTAATATTTCTTTCAATAATTTGAAAATATAACCTAGTTAATTTTGCCTCAATACATGTTTCATGTTTATGATTATAATTTATATGTAGCAATGGAATGTGTTCCAAGTTAATTAATCTCTGCAGAGCATCATAATTAACATGTTCAAGCCTATCATGTCGTAAATTAAATGACTGAAGCATATAAACGGAAGAAGAAACTTTATTCTTATTCATGTTTTTGGCTTTTATAGAGATAGCATTAAGTTTCCACATGTCATTCAATACATATCCTCTAGCCACAAACATTCCCCCTTTGGACAAAATCAACTTTTGGGATTCAAACACCATTATAATATCGTGAACACTTAGAAGTGTTCCAGAAACAAGGTTTTTCCGTATGTCAGGTACATACAACACATTCTACAACTTGAGTTATTTGTCTGAAGTCATCTTCAAGACTATAGTACCCTTCCCCTTGATTTCAGAAGTCACAACATTGCCCATGTAGAGTTTCTCCCTATTGTTGCAAGGTGTCAATTCAGATAAAATTCCTTGTCGCAACAAATATGGTGTGTGGAACCAATATCGTGCCATCATTCTCTTGGATTAGAGTTAACCAGATTGACTTCAGAGATCCTAGCACATAGATCTATATCATCCACATTATTAGTCATTATTTCCACAACATTAGCTTCGCAAGATTTGGCTTTCTTTGGATGTCTGCACTCAGAGGATTTGTGCCCCATCTTTCTACAGTTAAAACACTTCTCTTGGGTTGTTTTCCTTTTTGAAGTCATTGACTTCCATCATGTTTGCCTTAGCCTCTTCTTTGCTGAGCTTCTTGGCAATAATTCTATTGTCTTCTTCTATTCGAAGTCTGACAACCAGTTCTTCCATGGTCATTTCCTTCCTCTTGTGCTTTAGATAATTCTTGAAGTCACTCCATCCAGGAGGTAATTTCTCAAATATAGCGGCTACCTGAAACGATTCGCCTATGACCATTCTCTCAGCAAGGATTCCATTGATCAAAGTTAGAATTCCTCCACTTGTTTTACTACTGG